GGCATTTTCAAAATATTTTAAAACACACATTCACAAAGCATTTTTAAAGTGAGCTAGCGATTAAGAGCCCGTAGATAACTACAGATGAAAATAATGCTAACATCTTCTCTTTTCATAACCTACCCCCGAACTCAGAAAAATTCTCAAAGTTCTTTCCTGTTCTTTTCACCTTTCCTTTATTAGATAAAAGAAAAATCGGTGGCGACTCTTGTTATCCGCAACATTTTGGATAAAACGCAAAACCAAAAAACAATTATCCCACCATATTACAAACATATATGCCATAGAAAAGACATTTATGCCCATCACTATCTGTCTGCCACATGTCAAATTGAACTATTATTAATTATTATTATTATTATTTTTATTAATTATTATTACGCTTGTAAATTGTTAAGCCTCTCATTAAATTTTTGAAAGAATATCAAGTAATTTTAGTTAAGGCTGGACAGATTATTCCGAAACCGGTCCAATCCGACCTACCCAAGGGCCCGTTAGTAAGCGGTTCGGGTCAAACGGGTTATCGGGTAATCGGTTTTGCAAGAAATGGATGCATATGGATTGTACCTGTCGGTTTCGGATAATTTGTTTGGATCCATCGAAATCCAAAACCGACCGGCCTAGGTTACAGATTTTCAATTTTCTATTTCATTTTTCATTTCAGTTTCAGTGAAGGCAAGTCTTTTACTAAGCTGCAGAGTGCATTTATTCTTGTTTCCTCTCACCGTTCATCGTCAACCTAAAATCGTCGTCGTTTCGATCTTTAAATTATTCGTCTCCTTCCGCACAAGGCTTTACCTGAATCTCCTCGTCTCTACAATTGAAGGTTTTCCCCTACCTCATATGCTTTTTGCTTGCAAGTGTTGATTTGCTAAATTGATGAAATCTGTTCCAGGAAAATGTAAATTAGGTTTAGAAATGAATGGGTTTCTTTTTTTATTGATTTTTCTTTTCTTGTGTGTATCTTGCTGAATGGATTTAGAGGATTGTTATTTTCTGTGACGAGATTTGGGTATGCTGTAACATGATTTGATGGTGTGTTCTGCGATGTCGCTGTTATCCCTTTTAATGCTTGCTTGTTTTGATTTGTTCATCTTCTAAACAAATATGTTCCCAAAGAAACTAGAAGGCCACTTTCCTTAGTTGATAAGCTCTATTTTATATAACTAATTTGCCTTCATTTCTCGACATTGTTTTATATGCTCAGTAATGATTGATTTTCTGGTTGGTTATTTAGTATTTCTATTTAGAAAATGGATTGAAACAGTTTGTGGAAACCAAATGATCTGCAAACAAAGAGAAAGAAATATATTAAAAGGATTGATTTACTCCTTAATATTATCACTGAAATGAAAGAAACAAAGAGAAGGAAAGATATTAAAATGGATTAAGCTGAAGGCAAATATTTGTTACCTCTAACTTAGAAAGCTGAAGGCAATATCTTGGTAAGTTGAAGACTCAAATATGAAAGAAAATTATTATTTCGTTTCAGTTAAAAAGCAATAAACAGATTGAGGTAAGGATTATGTGGTTGGAAATTTCTGCTTGTGTTGAAATATTGATTCAAACAAACCTTGCAATTTTCTGTCAAAAGCCCAATCCGAAAATGCTTCATTTAGCCCACTGATTCCCCTTGTTTTGCAATGTTTAAGTCATTTTGATGATTATTTGGATGTTAGATGGGCTTTATAAAATGTCATGGAAAGGCTTGTAACATTGTAGACTTGGTGATGGACATAAGAATTTAGGCATAGGAGACTTGAAATTTTTGAATCTCTTTTATTCTTTGAATTTGAACAATCATAGAACCAAAATCTTTTCTTTGTAAACTCAAACTTGACGACTTACCTTGAAGCTTTTTAGTATAGCAACTTTAAATGCCTTTGTATGGAAATGACGTGACTTGGAATTCTTGTGTAACATGATGATACAATTTGAATCTTTTAGGCGAAAAAATCCTTGCATTCTTCTTGTGTCATTCAAAATTGAAATGAATTTGTCTTGATGAAATGGGCGACATAGTGTGACTTGTTTGAAAATTTAAGCTTATGAGTTTAGGAATTATTGAACTATGGATTGTGTAATATTCTTGAAATATTTGGTAAAAAAATTCTTGAATTTTCTTGATGAATGCCTTATGGATAAGGTTGGTATGCATGCGATGTTCCCTTGGGCTGATATAATTTTCATACCGTTTTTTATTTTTGCGTTCACTTTTCTCTAACGATCTGATTTAGTTGCTTGTAGTGCTTATTGGATCTGACAAAATTTACAAAATTTAAAGAATTGACAAAATCTTACATTTGCCGTTAACCCTTTGTTTTGTGACAAAAGAGAGGCTAAAAAGAGAATAAAGGGGGTTATTAACTATAAACTGTGATATGAATGTGTCTGTGTCTCATTCATAGTAATTGTTGCCATATGTCCCTTTCTTATTTTGTTTAACTTCTGAAACATACTATTAGGTTGCACTTGATTATGCTTAATTGGCTGAATTACTGTACCAGTTTCGTCTTACTAGCTTTTTCTTTATTCAATTAATTGTCTGTATAGAATTTTTCATGGTAAAAGGAACAAAATTTATGCCTTAGCAGAACACTCCCCAGGTCCCATTTTTGCTCTTCTTCTGCTTCTGTCTCTTCAATGCAACCTATCTTTCTTTCTCTGTTCTGCACAATGAATTAATAGCCTTGTCTGAGATTTTTTGGGAACTACCTTACTTTTTTTCCTTTAAAAGTTTCATCCTCACCCATTTTGTTAGGCACAACAAAAACACTAGAAACATATCACTTTCCATGTCAAGCAAAGCAAGCTCTTTGTTTTGATTCAAGAGTCCAAATATGAATGTAAGTATATTTTCAATGACCCTTTTTTGTTTTGTTAAAGGTGATGATGAGTAATGATTGATGGGTTATTGTTGTTTGTTATTGTTAGGAATATTGGAAGAGAAGTGGTCAAATACCAGCTTTTGGAAACTGAGATATTGCGAACGAGTTGCCAATAACTCAATACTTTGAGAATGCAAGACAAGCTGGTTTGATTCATTACAGTTCTTCGTCCGGTGAAACTGATCTTTATGCGGTTGATCATAAGAAACCACTTAGAAAGGTAACTTAATAGTAATAAATATTTTTTCTGCAATAGTATTTTGTCATGAGTGATGATGATGATGTGCCATTGTTAATAGTGCGATATCTGAAAAACACATGCTCCTATTTTTTAGTACATACTGTTTGCTTTCGATAAAAACAAGATATGTAATGTAGAAAGAGTGTGTGATGTTTTTTGTGGTTTGTAATGTTATGTGTAGGCGAAGAGAATAAGGGATAGAAGATATACAAAATGTAAATACTGCAGAATCTCTTGTCTTGATGAAATTAAAGGCCTTTAACCTTATAGCAGTGAAATGTGTTGTCCCTAACACCTGTGCTTGGACTAGAAATCTATAGCTGATTCTAGCAATGTTTGCAAAATGTAATTCTTCAACCATGATTAAAGAATTCCTGGATGCATCTTTCTTCAAGCCATTTAGTGGCTAAAAAGCACATTCTGCATAAGCATACTTAGCACTGGTCTTAATCTAATCTCAATTTCTCATTTGGCAGAGGCGCTGTACGATTCTTTCCAAAAGGTCCCTCTTCATGCATTGTAGAAGTAAGGCCTTTCATACAATTTTACTAATTTCACTTTTTTTTTCTATATTGATAACAATGCAATCTTTCTTGTACAACTGTTGCCGACTTACTTTGATCCCGTATTAAGGGGGGAAATTGGGTTAAATCAATACCAATTGTAAATTTCTCAATGTAGTATTTGTCCAACTAGCTGCATCACATTCACTTCATGTTTCTATTGGGCCAAATAATTGCCTATCTATATCAGTCCAGTGCATGACTAGGTGCCTATCTTATGTATGCTACTTATATTACTGAATAATCTGGTAGTACAAGGTGAAGCACAATAGTATAACAATTACTTTACAGAAAAAGGAAACTCAAACTATTGCGGATAGTTGAGCTCCTTTGTTAAAGTTTCTAATTCCTTTTTGTCTTCATTTTTCCAAGGGTTCGAGTATTTTGGCAGATTCAGGCACCGAACAGCTAGAGTTCATTGCTCCATCCTTGGAACAACAGCTCCCATTCTGGTATGCAAAAAATTTACTTGAAAGGTCATGCATAATTTTGTTTAGAAGCAAAAGCTTTGAAATATATTATTTCTAAAATAACACTTCTCTTCTCTTGCAGCTTACAGTGGAACACTTCTCTTCTCTTGCAGCTTACAGTGGAACACTTCTCTTCTCTTGCAGCTTACAGTGGGTGTTTAAGTGCTGGAAATATGATGGTGAACAAAAATTATAATTAGTGTTGGTTGTGTCATCATGTTGACTTTTAATGTTAATTTATATATGAAGGATGAATGTAATTTAAGTATTCATAGTGTATTTTAAGCTTTTTTTTAATGTTGGCATCTACAAAAACTACCTTATAGACTTTATGTCCAAAATTGAATGTATTATTTTGATATAATATTTGAAGCCTTCTCATATTTGAAGACAGTGTAAATTAGAATGTAAAATAGTGTTAAATTGAGTCATTTATTATTTTTATTATTGCTTTAAATTTATTATTTAATATTATTTTAATTAAAAAAATTAAGATATAATTAAATTTTTTTATGACAATTTAATATTAATTAACCGAATAAACCAATCCATTTTAATCGATAAACCGATTAAACTGAATCCGATCAAACCGATTACAACTTTGATCGGAATTGAACCTAATATTTGAATCCATGATTTTGCATGATTTGACATATTGAGTCCAAATCCAGCCCAAACCACCGATGTCCACCCCTTTTAGTAATATGTTATTTTATTATATTAATAAGAGATAGTATTATGATAAAATTGTCGATAAAAAATATAGTCCAGGGTGCAAGTTAAAATTCAAAAACCTCTGTCTTCCGTCTGAAATCTTGGCGAGAAAACAATCAAAACAATGGACACAACCGTCGATCACTACACGGTGCTAGGGTTACCTTCCGGCGAAGAAGGTGCAATCCTAACCGAAAAAGACATCAACAAAGCCTACAAACTCAAGGCTCTAGAACTCCACCCTGACAAAAGACCCGACGACCCCAACGCCGCCTCCAATTTCCAGCAGCTTCGAACCTCCTACGACATCCTCAAAGATGAAAAAGCTCGCAAGCTATTCGACGACCTTCTCCGCGTCAAGCGCGACAACGAGCGCCGTCAATCCCAGCGCGACGGAAAGCGCCGTAAAATGGTTTCCGATCTTGAGCGGAGAGAGCGCGATGCGTTCTCTCCTGATCCCGCCGCGAAGGGGAGGGAAGAAGAGGATAGGATTGCCAAGCAACTTAGAGATGAGATTGCTCGAATTCGTGCTATGCATGCTAAGAAAGGTGTGCCGGTGTTTGATTCTAAGAAAGAAAGCGATGCTTCCGGTGGTGGAATTGATCAAGAGAAGGCTCTGAAAGTTTCTTGGGAAAGGATTGGGGAAGATTATTCGGCGGAGAAGTTGAGGGAATTGTTTTCCAAGTTTGGTGAAGTTGAAGATGTTGTTATCAAAGGGAGAAAGAAAAAGGGTTCTGCACTTGTTGTCATGGCTACTAAACAAGGAGCTGTAAGTTTCTTATATAATTTTATGAAATTTCTTTGTTTATGTTTTTTTAAGCTATGTTTGAATTGATGAACTAGAACGCCGCGGAGCATAATCAAACATCATGATAGAAAAATGATAGAATGGAGTGGAGGGAGTGGAATGGGAGAGAGATTCCATTCCATTGTTTGTGTATTTTTTATAATTTGACTGAACTAAACATAATAAATTAGTTCATTCAGACACTCCAAATCAGATAGAATGAAGAATGAAGGATGAGATGGAATGGATTCCATTCTGCTCCATCGATTATTTGCAAATCCAAACCATGGAATCTCATTGTTTACCGCTCTATTTCATTCCATCCCATACTACCAATTATGAAGAATCGTTTAAAAAGCTTACTTGTTGTTATTTGTATTTGAATGATTGTAATAATTTTTATGTGTGATTTGCTGATTTGTGATTGTGTTTTTTTACAGATTGCTACAATTGGAAGTGTGATTGGTCATCTTGCTAATCCTTTGTTGGTCTTACCTCTTAAACCTGCAATGGCTGCAGATTCTTGGGGTTCTCCAAAGTCTGTTGAACCGGAAGTGCCGAGTAAACTAGTTGGGTCTGGTTATCAAGCTTTCGAGGATTCTGTTCTAATGAAACTACAAAAGGTATACATACCATTTGCTTATTAGGTTTAGTTTGGTACTAAATTTCTTACATCATTTGATTTAAATTACATTATGGGTCATGTGATAAGTGGCTAATATGAGTCATTAGGTTTTGATATACTTTTTTAAAGTCTGATGTTGTTAATGGCCATTATAGCTACTATTTGGCAACATTGTGTGTTAAATGGTGTATTGCAGAACAATAGCAAGTAGTTCAAATTATTGCGCAACTATAACCGCTATTTAACTACATTATTTAAATCTACACGTGTAAGACAACTTCATCAGCTATTCCTTGCAATTGATAGTGTTGAATTAGGAGATACTATGAGACTTTTAAGTTAAACCGTGTGTTTTGAAAGCACTGCGGAGACTTTATTATATATAGAGAGATTACAATTAATTACATGATATAATTGATGTGGGACTATTCTAGGTACAATGATATAATTCATCTGCTCATCTCTTCTCTGTACAATCTGCGCGTTACATTGTCTTTTAGCAGTAATACTTTATATGACCTCTGGCATTTATATCTTACCTGTTTTCTTGATTCATTTCTAATGCAGGCTGCAGCAAAGCATAGGTGATGGTAAAAGATGTCCAACACTAAAACGGACTATTTGGAATGGTAATCGCATATTCACTGATTTTAATTCTTAGGTACTGGAACTACTGTTGTTGTCATCAATAATACATAATCAGTGATTTGTCACATTGAGACATGAGTTTTTGTATCAAGTTTTACTGTATGAGAAATAGTATGCTAGATAACCTATGGTTTTGTATTGTATTATGTCCTATGAAATACAACTCGTGGTTGCTGCTGCTGTTGGGGTATTAACTATACTTTTCTTATCGTATTGCGTTGTTCTACTTGAGTCGGTAGATTTAGCTCTGCAGTTAGGTATTTGTGTTTTGTTTGATTGTTCTTAACTGAGCTGAATCTAATCTAGTTCACTGATGAAGCTGATGGCTAAATTGTTGCTTGAATAAGGCAGCGTTATTAAAATGGTTTTATTCGCTGTTTTTTATTCCGCCATTTTGTCTGTTAATTAGCTATGAAGCATGGACACCAAAAACACGACTCCAACACTAACACGTCGAAACTAGTAATTATTTGAAAAACTGAATAAATTAAAAATAATCACAGGTATCGGTGTCGGTTTCAGACAGACACAAACACTTTTTTCAGAGGTGGGTTCGGATACTGACACAAACACACTTTATTAGAGGTGTTGGTACTTTTCAGAGTTGTTGGTGTTATAGGGTTAGTTAGTTCTTCAATTTGCACCAACCAGCTTAACAGCCTGTGGCTTTTTCCCGCACATTTTCCCTGACTGGTTATTTGATATCATATCTAAAGGTGTATCTCAAATGTTTTGAAATCATTGAATTGGTGTGGCTTAACCTGGATGCTGTTTCCTGCAAGTTTCTATAGTGGAGATATAGTGTAACATAATTTTAACCAATTGATAATGTTTCATGATAAGGTATTTAGTACATATTGTTGTCAAATAACAGCTATAGTGCTGCAGCGTAGCGAAATTTAAAAAAAACTGTTATTTTTTGCGACTCGCGATTGATAATACTGACATATTTTGATACTTTTCTGCTCCTGGAGACGAAAAAAGCGGTCTGGCACCAGCACCACGTGAATTCTGCAGGATTATATCTGAAGAATAACCTGAGAAATGTATATAATTTAATGCAGCCTGAACACCAGCACTACGTGAAATCAGAGTCGTTGCCTTGTCTTGGTGCAGCAGATAAACACATAAGATCTATGACAGGAACTATTATTAGCGTTGTTGTTCAAACCGTAGGAGTTTCACGCTGGCCCGAATTATTGCTAGCCCTTGTGAATTGCTTGAACTGCAATGATCTAAATCACATGGAAGGTGCAATGGATGCATTATCCAAGGTGTGCTCTCTGTTTTAAAATCAGTATTAGTATGTTTAAATTATTATAGATCTAGCTAAAGTATTTGTGGCAACAAAAAATAGAGTACATCCATTATATGGCACTACTCGGAACTGCTAGAGAGATAGAAGAGGGGGCAGCTATCATTTACTTATTTACTATCTTTGTTAAATGGACAAACATCAATAAAAGTAAGATAGATGATATAGCAATTGCCAAATATTTGGCCTATGGATGTATGGAAGTGTCTGGATACACCATGTGAACTTCTCTTAGGTTTTCAGAAGTAGAAAGAGAGAAAAGAAAGAATTGGAAAGAAATTATAAAGGAATCAATGCATTAGGGTACATTGCTCTGCCAAGAGAAGAATTCCCTTCGGACAACTATAAACACAATTCTCTTACAATGTCCATAGCTGATAGACCCACTTAATCGGTATCCTGATTAATTAATTTATCTTCCTTCTAGAATAAACTTTCGATGTCCACAGCTGCCCTCTTTCATCTTTTCCACAATTCTCTTACAATCTCCAGACTCAATTGGAAATAAAAGTTATTTGTATTTTCTGTCTTGCTTCTTATTCTAGTTCATTTCAGTGTTTAAAGTTAATTAAATAAATGTTATTTGTTGGGAGTATTGTATATTGAGCTGGTTGTTTCATTTTATTCATTCCACCACATTACACTTCATATTTGCGTATACTTGTTTGAATAAGTAGAAAGCAAGGAAGCTGGAAAATTATTATGCATTTCATTTTGGAAGCAGTGAAATCTGAACATGTTGCTATGTCTTACATTCTTGTCTTTTGTTTTGTTTTGCATAAATACAATTACAATATTTGACCTGCTCAAACTTGCAAGTTCCATGAGCTCCCTCTTTTCTGATCAATTGTTAACCATACTGCAGTCACATCTAAAGAATGTGATCGAATATATGTTACAAGTCAACAAGGACATAGATGAAGAAGTGGCCCTTGAATCCTATGAGGAAGGTAAGTGCACGAGATCGTGATGATAAAATTTCTTGAAACAGGTGTGTTTTGTCTTTTTTCATATTTATTATGCATGACATAAAGCAAAAAACGGGGTTTGACAAGCACTATTATATAGATACAAATCATTGACTGGTTTGTTGTACTTGGTTGATTCTCAGGAGTCTGCAACCTGTGGTGATATGATTCAATTCAAGAAAGCCTCCTTTTGACGAAAACCATAAACTGGAAGTTGAAGGAGGTGTGGTTTCAAAGTAGCCTTGGGTCGATCACAAATGTTATTGGGCTGCAAATAGATATAACAAATGCTAGTTGATGAAAAGTCAGAGACCAATGGTTCCCATCGTTGCATAAAAAATTGAGTTCCAGTGTCAATCCTGGGTCAGTTTGGAATTGCTTTTGTCATCTGTATACAACACTAAAATGGGAGTTCAGTACACTCATATTAAGTCCAAAGTTCTAAGATAAAGCTTTTGGGGAATTTGACATCCAACAAAGTTTACTCCCAACCCAAATGGACAATAGCAAACAGAAATAGCATTGGACAAAAGAGAGTTCTCATAGCCCTGTCTGTTTGTATGAAAAATAAAGGGTTATAGCTTTAGAACGTGGATCCAAGCTGGTAAATAGGTGCTATCATTTTCAATGATTGTTCCGTTAACTAGTGTATCCAGTGTCCTTATGGGTTGCTATTCCTCTGCATTATTATCATTATTAGAAATTTATTGGGTACATACACCAAATAGTACTACTTGAGTGTGAAAGATAAATGTACAACAACAAGCCAATAATAGACAAACTCGTCAAGTAGAGAAACTAAATTGATTAATCAAAGTGTACAAATAGTTACACTTATTTGATCCTAACCTATGTATCTATGAGAGTATGGCATCTTTTGATTTCTGGAGTTTGAAGAAAGTGAACTGACAGTAGTTTAGCACGCATTAAAAGTATATTAACTTAACGTGGAAAGCTTTTTTAATAGAAAGTGTTTTGGGTGTTTATCACTTTTGATAATAATTGCTTCTGAATGATTAGTTATTAGTTTCAAAAGATATTCTGAATGCGGCCCAAATTATAAGATCTTTTGAGTATTTCATATGAATTAAGAAAAATAATGATTATTGTACGAGAAAAGAGAAATTATGTAAGATTTTACACTATTATCCATCATTAATTACAGCGGAAAAAAGAGAAATTAAGAGAATGGAAAGAAGAAAGAGAAATAAATAATAGAGGATATATTAGAAAAAAAATCATTAATGTTATATTGAAATTGTTAAATGACTTATAATTTGAGACTAATTTTTTTTTCAAAACATTTTATAGATAGATTGAGACGGAGGGAGAATTTAACATCAGATTTGTTTTTGTTTTTATTTTTTGTATATCCTTCCATAACTATTTTTGTATATTAAGATAAGAGTCCATGTACATTAATATGCAAGTTGTAATAATAAATAAAAAATCACATTTTCTGTGAGACATTTGTAAATTTTTGGTGCTAAAAACCTAAAAGTTACATTTGGAAAATTTTGATGCTAAAAACCTAAAAGTTACCAAGTATCTCCTTTGATTTAAAAGAGCCAAAAACAAGAATTGATTTTAGAATGATTGTGAGTTTTGTTCAATTATTATCTTACACAAATTTATCTAATATTAATCACTTTACTTTGAAGTCATTTTTAACTATAATCAATTTAACATAATTAATTTATTCAAAACCAATTCTTAACACACTAAGATTTGATTCTTCAGATTAAAATTTTAGTACCTATCTTTATCAAACACTTATTAAATTGTATAAGTTATTTTTATATTAAAAAATAAAAAATAAAATATTTTTAAATAGAAAAATAATCAAAACCGATTGGACATTAAATCGGTGTATTTATGAGTTTAAGATTTTAAAGTTTGACCGGAGTTGAATCTAGATTAAATCAGTATATGAATAAATAATTTTTTTTTATATATAAAAATAATAATGCGTAAAAATAATTATATTTTTTAAATAGTAAAATAATTTATTGATAATTTCTTAATAATTAATATTTAATAGTTTTTTAAAAATATTTTTATAATCTTCCATGATTTTAATAGGTTAGACAGGTAAGTCTAAAACTTTCATTTTAATATAATAATAATAATAATAATAAAAAATTAATAATTTAATAACTTTATTAATTGTTTATTTACGACATTGTCTAATTATTTTTATGTGTTTAAATGTCTTTTATCATATTTATCTATTATATATTATTATACAAAATTCACTTTATTTATCAAATGAATAGAGAATAATAAAATAATTTAAAATAATTTTTATTTTTATTTTTCCTATGATAATATGTACTAGAATAATTGAAGAAGGAAAAAAAATCATACATTATTTTGATTTAAAATGAAATTTTTATCATATTTTTATAAATAAAAACAAAATTCGGTTTAATCCTAAAAATCGTTTAAACTGCCGATTTTTCTGTTTTTAATCGGGTTTTAACTGATTTTTCAGTTTAAATCTAATTTTTCTCCATACTGATTTTCAGGTCCAAACAAATCAATTAAAGTTTTAGTTTTTAATCCAACCGATTGAACTAACCGATTCAATCCGATTTTAATTACCATGATATTTTTCAATAACTTATATTATTTTTCATAATTTAATTTAGTGAAATTATAAAAATAAGTGATAACAAGCTTATGAACAATTTTGTAATCACACAAAATTTATGCCAATAAATAAGTTATAGATTTAGAGAGGTTCGTGTTAAAGCAACTTAAAAGTAATAACTATAAATAAATAAAAAACAACATTTAAATTTTTAACAAATTGTTTTTGATTGAATTTTTTAGCAATAGCATAAGTTAACGTTGTTATCCAATTAATTTAAATAATATATATAGACTATATAGTATGGAATAATGAGAATGAAGCCAAGGAAGCAAGAAGAAGGGTTAACCTAAACATAGACCCAACCCAATGCGTGAAAAGTGTTGTGTGAGTGTTGTACTACTACGAGGGTTGTGTTTTTTGCTGGCAGAATCAAAAAAGTTATTTGTATTTTCTGTTATTTATTTATTTATTTATTTATTTCTTTCAAGCTTCAAAAAGGGATTTCTCTCTCTCGCTCTCTCTCTCTCTATCTAAAACCTCTTTCTCTCTAGAAACCAAAAACCCACTCAATTCGTGGTTTGCTGATTCCGGTAGTGATGGCGGCGACACCACCATGGCAGCCACAGGAGCAAGGGTTCAAGGAGATCTGCACGCTATTGGAGCAACAAATTTCGCATTCTTCTTCCGTTGATAAGTCTCAGATTTGGAACCAAATTCAACAATACTCTAATCTCCCAGACTTCAACAATTACCTTGCGTTCATCTTTTCACGTGCTCAGGTAATTCATTCCATACTTTGATTTTTCATTTTCTTTTTTGTTTCATTCATTTTGCGTTGTTCTACTTGAATCGGTGGATTTAGATACGTAGTTCGGTATTTGTGTTTTGTTTGATTGTTGTTGTTAGCTGAACTGAATATAATAGTTTACTGATGAAGATGATGGCCTTGCTTGAATATGGTAGCGTTATTGAAACGGTTTTGTTCACTGTTTTATATTCTGCCATTTTCTCTGTTAATTAGCTATCAAGCGCGGCCACCGGAAAAATGACACTCATACTGATAAGTCAATACCGCTAATAATTTGGAAAAAAAATGAATACATTAAATATAATAACATGTGGTATCAGTGTCGGTTTCAAACACAGATACACTTCTTTTTCCACAAGTGTCCGAGCTTTTTCAGAGGTGTCGGTTCTACTGTTCTTCAATTTGCACTTACCAGCTTAACAGCTTGTGGCTTTTTTCCCTCACGTTTTCTCTGACTAGTTATTTGATATCATATCTAAAGGGAAACATATCTCAAATGTTTTGAAATCATTGAATTGATGTAGTTTAACCTGGATGCTATTGCCTGCAAGTTGCCATGATCAGTGTTGTCAAATAGTGGAGATATATAGTGTAACATAACTTTAACCAATTGCTAATGTTTTATGATAATGTATTTAGTACAAATTGGTGTCAAATAAATAACAGCTGTAGCGCAGTGAAATTTAAACGTACTGTAATTGTTTGCAATCAACGATTGATAATACTAACATTTTTATACTTTTCTGCTCATGGAGGCTTAAAACACTGTCTGGCCTTTAAACTATTAAATGTCAGACTATGTGTTGCAGTATGTGGCATATCTGGTTTGATGGATTCATGGAATCCCTGATGTTGCGTTGCTAACTATGCTGCTTTGGCAATTTTATTTTTTAATTCTTAACAGGGAATATCTGTGGAGGTTCGGCAGGCTGCAGGATTATATCTGAAGAATAACCTGAGAAGTGTATATAAATTAATGCAGCCTGAACACCAGCACTACGTGAAATCAGAGTTGCTCCCTTGTCTTGGTGCAGCAGATAAACACATAAGATCTACGACAGGAACTATTGTCAGCGTTGTTGTTCAAACTGGAGGAGTTTCACAGTGGCCCGAATTATTGCAAGCCCTTGTAAATTGCTTGGACAGCAATGATCTAAATCACATGGAAGGTGCAATGGATGCATTATCCAAGGTGTGCTCTCTGTTTTAAAATCAGTATTAGTATGTTTAAATTATTATAGATTTAGCTAAAGTATTTGTGGCAACAGAAAAAGTAGAGTACATCCATTATATAGCGCTACTCATAACTGCTACAAAGCTAGAGGATGGGGGTTATTTAATAAAGCAATGTTATATCTGCTGCCCAACATATACTGAATGGTCATAGGATGGTGCCAGTACACACTTACTGATTTACTGTCAATGTTAAATGGACATACATCAATAAAAGTAAGATAGATGATATAGCAATCGCCAAATATTTGGTGTGTCTGGATACACCATGTGAACTTCTATTAGGTTTTCAGAAGTAGAAAGAGAGAAAATAAAGAATTGGAAAGAAATCATAAAGGAATCAATGCATTAGGGTACATTGCTTTCCCAAGGGAGGAATTCCCTTCTGACAACTGTAAACACAATTCTCTTACAATGTCCACAGCTGCCCTCTCTCATCTGTTCCACCGTATTTAAGTATCCTCTTCCCAAAAGTCATAGCTGACAGACTCACTTAACTGGTATCCTGATTCCCTCTACTGCCCCCTTTGGACTAATTAATTTATCTTCCGTCTAGAATAAACTTTCAATGATGGACGCTTTCCATCCTAACTCTATTTCTCCCGGGGACTTCAACCTTGTCCTCAGAGTTGAGCTAAATTGGCGATCCTAGATGTGGCTTCATTTGTAGGCTTATTCTTCCACTTGATTCACCTGGACTGTCCCCTGGCAAATGTTCCCCTTTCCAGTAGCCGTTTGGGCACCACTTCTGCCTCAATCTGCAACTCGTGTAGATGGATTTGCCACACATTACACAAGATGTTTTCCTTATGATTTCTTTAGCCATGAAAAGGCCTACACTATTGCCCAGTCTACTTTGGGATGTAACTTATTTACTACTTAAAAGCAACTATCGTTGTGCATAGCTCCTTTTCTGTCAATCTTATGGTTGTATGACATAGAATTCAATGCAGTACTGTTTTTTTAATACTTCTGCTGACTCGAAAGTTATATTGAGCACTGCCTCTTTTACAAAGAGGACTTAAATTGTTGTATTGGTTATAAACACTTCAAGGAGGATGCTGTTGTAATTAAAACTAAGAGGATCGAAATTCGAAAGTGAACTTCAATGAAACTAAAGAGAGCAAATGTATAATTTTAAGCCAAAAAAACAAGAAAAGGTGAGATTGATATAGTTCTTTGTAGTTCTACTATTGTTGATTGCCTCCCTTCCTTCTTCCCTTGATTCCAAATAACTGAAATGAGATGAAGGCTTGGGAGATTCAGAATGGGAGATATTATGCTTTATTGAAATTTTCCCTCCATTGAAGTTCTTGTTATTTGATAACTAATTTGGCAAAGTCTAATATAACATATGCAAGTCAAATGGATAGTGAGGTTGTTTGCACTAGTTTTTTAAGGGTATTTCCCTTGATTCCAAATAACTGAAATGAGATGAAGGCCTGGCAGATTCAGAATGGAAGATCTTATGCTTTGTAGAAATTGAAATTTTCCTGCCATTGAAGTTCTTGTTATTTGATATCTAGTTTGGTAATGTCTAATATAACATATACAAGTGAAATGGATCAGGTTGTTTGCACTAGTTTTTTAAGTGGTCGGAAATACCCTATTTCCAACATCAGCAACTGATACTTCAGATTCTATAGTATTTGTTTACATAAACTCCTTCAGACACTTAATATTTTACCGCACATGCAGATTTGTGAAGATGTTCCCCAAATTCTTGACGCTGATGTACCAGGGTTAGCAGAGCGTCCCATCAATATATTTCTTCCTAGATTGTTTCGGGTAAGATCAGTATTTTATTATTATTATTATTATTATTATTATTATTATTATTATTATTATTATTATTATTATTATTATTATTATTTTTTAAATATTCTGTGTGACTATATCTTCTACCTGTTCTTTTCTTTCTATTTTATTTTGTTTCAGTTTTTCCAATCACCTCATGCTTCATTAAGAAAGCTATCGCTGGGTTCTGTCAATCAATACATTATGTTGATGCCTTCTGTAAGTATATCTCGGGACTTTATCATCTCAGTATTCTGGTTATTAAATATAAAATTGAAGTTTGGGCTTTGATAATAGTAGTCTAACTATTCTATTTAGGCCTTATGTGTATCCATGGATCAATATCTTCAAGGTCTGTTTATTCTTGCAAATGATCCTACAGCAGAAGTGCGGAAGTTGGTGAGTTCTCAGTGCCTTATTGTATGAATGTATTTGGTGTAACTCAAAATATTTTCCGATATTGCAAATTTCTGAATTACTTGATGCTCTATTTCCAAGTCCAGATTATTTTTCTTGGTTTGAATGGCTAGTAGTTGAAGTCGTTGGTCTTCTGTCTCTGCCATCTACTTGCTTCATTCTATATTTTATGTATGCATTATTTTTACAACTGAGGAGAGTGAAGACCAGATCCTACTGATGTTTGACGAAACCAAATTTTGATAGGTTTCGCCATTCATAAGAAGAAAATTGATTCACTTCTATTTTCTCAAATCAGCTATTACTATTTCTTATCAATGTTGGAATCAACTGAGACCTTTCTAATTTCCATTGACAACCAGGTATGTGCAGCATTTGTTCAGCTGATTGAAGTCCATCCATCTGTCTTGGAGGTGTGGGCTTCTTATTCTAGTTCATTTCAATGTTTAAAGTTGATTGAATATGTTATTTGTTGGGTGTATTGCATATTGAGCTGGTTGTTACATTTTATTCATTCCACCACATTACAATTCATATATGTGTTTACTTGTTTGAATAAGTAGAAAGCAAGGAAGCTGGAAATTATTATGCATTTCATTTGGAAGCTGTAAAATCTGAACATGTTGCTATGTCTTACATTCTTATCTTTTGTTTTATTTTGTTTAAATACAGTTACAATATTTGACCTGCTCAAACTTGCAAGCACAGAGTCTGGTGGTCATTTGCTTTATTTAAAATTAATCCTTTTCTACGAGTTCCCTCTTTTCTGATCAATTGTTAACTATACTGCAGCCACATCTAAGGAATGTGATCGAATATATGTTACAAGTCAACAAGGACACAGATGAAGAAGTGGCCCTTGAATCCTGTGAATTTTGGTACTATTTGGTTGGGATTTTATATTCTTACCTTACAATTAGTTGATGTTGCTCACAGTATAGCTTCTATATATTGTCATGATTCACAAAGAAAGAAATAAACTTATAAATGTTTTATTGAAGAAGGGGAATTCATGTCAGGTGGTTATAGTCTATTCCAATATGGGAAGTATATCTCACAGGGGTGTCTGATTTTACAAGTTTCTTTTGTTTCTGTATGATTTGTTTAAAAGAATTTCATATGAATAGTCAATTCCCTGTTTCTGAAATCAGCAAGCTAATGCAAGTTAGAGTGATGTTTCTATAATGTGGCGATGCTGTATCTCAAACCTTGCAAGCTTCTATATCTTTTTTTTTTTGATAATTGCTTTTGCAGGTCTGCATATTGTGATGCTCAAATGCCACCAGAAAACTTGAGAGAATTCTTGCCTCGGCTTATTCCAGTAAACCTAATTATATATATATATATATATATATATATATATATATATATATATATATATATATATATAAATATAATTTTATAATTGTTTTAATCTGTGAGGTTTAAAGTTTGAGATTTATGTGTTGCATCTCTACAGATATTATTGTCAAACATGGCTTATGCAGATGATGATGAGTCACTTATTGAAGCTGAGGTTTGCTTTTGGTTGATTTGTGTTTGTAGATGCCTTTACGTTAACTTTTGTCGTTCTTGATTACATGGCCTCATTTTTTTCAGGAAGAGGGTTCACAACCGGATCGAGATCAGGTCTGATTCATTTGGGCTGTTACTGGATTTCTTTAAATCGACATGTTTCTAATTTTAATTGTTTTTCTCACAGGATCTTAAACCTCGATTTCATGTATCCAGATTTCATGGATCAGACGATGTAGACGATGATGATGTATGTTGTATTTGCTCTGTTGATTGCTTATTATAGTCATTTAATAAATCATTTTGTCCCTAGTTATTATAGTTTGCTATGCCTTTATAACATGAAATGACAAGAAAAAGTTGCTTTTGCTGATCTGGACTTGAATTTTATTTTCCATATTTACAGGATGACGATGTTGTCAACACATGGAATTTACGTAAATGTAGTGCAGCTGCTCTAGATATTCTCTCGAACGTGTTTGGAGATGAGATCCTTCCTACTCTGATGCCTATTGTTGAGGTGATTTACAGCCCCTTGTTGGAATATGGTTGTTGAACTGGTGCTCTATCAATTCAAAGCTAGACAGACTGTACACATGAAAACAACGTGTGAAACATAGGTGTATGCATATAAGACATAAATGGCTACAAAAGTTTTTGCTGTTGTTTACTCTCATTGTGAATACCATATGGATCTGGGCTTTTAACGAGTTACTTTTGGATACATACTTCTGTATGAAACTAGTCTCTCCATATGCTGTTACTCCAGTTATGAAGATATATACTAAAATTTCTAAGAATGTGATCAGGCCAAGTTGTCAACCGTTGGAGATGATGGTTGGAAAGAAAGGGAAGCTGCCGTCTTGGCACTTGGTGCCATAGGCGAGGGGTGCATAAATGGTCTTTATCCTCATCTGTCAGAGGTATTCTCTAATAGTATTATCTTCTGATGACTTAAATGTAAAAGCAGATGGTTTAATTATGGGGGAAAAGTTTAGCTTGTTTTTCTATTTAATTAGTATATGGTAGAATGAGTTTATAGATTTATGCATGTTCTATTTCAATACATCAGTATAGGCCTAATGTTTCTGGCTCATTTCCTTCAAACAACTTCTTGTCTAGGCCTTTGCTAGTCTTTGTAGATAATTCTGTCCCTTTCAGTAGAGCCACTCCTGTTCTAAAAAATATGATCACTTTTAGGATAATAAGTAAAATGTTTCCTTGACAACATTTAGTTATATTCACTCAGTCAGCATCATTCTTTTTTTAGTGAGTGGGGTTTTGTCATCTAATTTATTCGATCCTCATGCTCACACATTAATCCAAAATATTGTGGAAATAAATGTTTTTGTGCAACCCTTATTTCATACTAATTAAATTGGAAAACTAAGCCATTCATTATTCTGGTTTTATAGATTGTGGCATTTCTTATCCCTCTTCTTGATGATAAGTTTCCTCTTATACGGAGTATTTCATGCTGGACAGTATCTCGGTTTAGCAAATTTATTATTCAGGTATGCATTTATTTGTGTTCCCTCCCTTGCAGTTGGACATCAATCATTTGTTGAAGCTGATGATTTCAAGTTTTTATAACTTAATGCACTTTCTATACACTTTTTAAGAGTTTGCTTCATGTTTCATGCTAATAAAATTTGACGTGCATGTTCAACCCGATAATTAGCTATAGTTAAATAATTCAATGATCAATATCCTTTTCTACATAAGACTTCTTAGATATTATGCTAAATCTTAGATCAATCTCAATCGACTGTGATCAGTTGGGATATTGTAGTTTGTCTAGATTATAGGAAAAGGAAAAAATCAGGAGCACATGCTATTTATTATTTATGATGCATATGAAACGATATCCGAGTTGATTGATTTGTAGTTGGAAATAGTGCTATCTTTAGAAGTTTTGTTTGAATCTTGACACATGTGTTAGGGTATCGGGCATCCCAAGGGTTATGAACAATTTGATAACGTTCTTATGGGTCTTCTCCGAAGAATTTTGGATGATAATAAGCGTGTACAGGAGGCTGCTTGTTCAGCCTTTGCAACATTGGAAGAGGTTCTGACTACAATTTCTGTTGACTACTCTTAAAGAATTTGTTCAGCTTCTAAATTTCTTTTGAATATATCAATTTTCATATCTAACTTACTTACGATAGGAGGCTGCGGAAGAGCTGGTACCGCGCTTGGAAATCATATTAAAGCACCTAATGGTTGCATTTGGGAAGTATCAGGTGATTTCCTAACCTTAACACAATTCTGTTTATGTTTCGTGTGAAATGAATCATATTTGAAAGAACACTACTCTTTATTGTTACTCTATTTTGTCCTTATCATCACATGTATGCTCAGAAATCTTTAATTGTATTTTTTTGTTCTATACTTTAGAGGCGAAACCTCAGAATTGTATATGATGCTGTTGGAACTCTAGCTGAAGCTGTGGGGGGAGAGCTGAATCAGGTAGGCTAATCAAGATTCTTCCCCATCCCTAAATTTTCTCCTTTCTCCCAAGTTATTTTTGATGGTTTAGTGTCAAATATTCTCGATTTCCTGTGCAGCCTGTTTATCTTGACATTCTCATGCCACCATTAATTGAAAAGTGGCAGCAACTTTCAAATTCAGACAAAGATCTCTTCCCACTCCTAGAATGCTTCACATCTATAGCACATGTATGTATGCCAGCTTTTCTAGTGTATGTTTTATCCCCTGTACTGTATTTACTCCCAAAACATTTATTATATGCGTGTTTATTTATTATATGCGTGTTTCTATATTGATGAGTATGTCATAGAATTTGAAAGCTAGCTCATGAGGTGAGAGTTTCCCCGAAAAGCTTGCTCATGGGCTGAGAGTTTCCCCTAACATATAGCAGTGTTGTTAAATATCAGTTATATCGCCGATATACCGGTTTTTCATATCGGAATTTGGCTATCCGATACGAAAGACGATATTCCGTTTCAGTTTTGCTACGCTCAACATATCGGCCGTTTTCCCGTATACCGGTATACGGTTCTGAATTTGATATCAGAATTAATATTATTATGATCATTTTTATAATGAGTCATATTAAAAAATATTTAAAATATAGAATGTGAAGAGGTGGAATAAAAAAGTAGGCTGTGAAGAGGTACACAGTAATAAATAGTAGGTTGTGAAAAGGTGGAGTATAATAAAGTGGAAATGTGAAGAGGTGTGTGGGTATTAACATATTCTGATTGCTAGTCTCGAAAATAGAAGAAACAACATTTGAAGAGGTCTAATATTAGTGAGTTGGTGTGGTTATTTATAGGAGTCAGAGTGCCTCCATCACCATAATTTTCTCTTCACTTTATTCATTCTTCACATTCTGAAAATGAGGATAATGATTATGTTGGGAAATGGAAAATAATTAGATCTTTATAACTAGTTATGCTTAGAAAAACTATTAGTATTACTTATTTTGAAGTTTGAACTATTTAATTTTGAGTTTTAAGTCATTTTGATTTTGAAGTTTGAACTACTTGGTTGTTAGAACTTGATATTTTCAGTTTAATCTTGGTAAACATTTTTAATATTTATTTTAATCGCTTTGCGGTTTCCGCTATTTGCCCGCTACGATATCCGATATTTCACATACCGGTATTTTGGTGATCCGATATTTTCCGCGATCCGCTATTAACAACACTGACATATAGTCATGTCATATCACTATCTAATGTGAGACTCAAGTGTGCTGACAGGCTTGCCACATCTGGTACGATCAATATATTTCCAGCTATCACATTATTAGTAAAGTGAAGATTATAAAATTGTTGAGCTGGCAATCTGCAATTTTTAAACCATGTAGAAGAAACCTGTCCACACATCTTTGTATTAAACTTTGTTTGATATTATAATCTTAAAGAGGAGTGCTAATAACACATTCTGTTCACTCTTGATTACTTGCATTCAGCATTGCTGAAATCCCTATTTTGAAATTACTGGAGGACTTTTGGCCATACTGTTACTGATTAGGGAGTGCTACTAATATTGCTAAGCAAAAAAGTATGTCGACCTGCTCCTTTAATGAGGTTCTAGGTACTATAAAAATTGTTTATGTTAAACTTGACAGATGACACTGAATTCTTTACTATTGAAAGTTTACATTTATATATTTCATTTGAATATTAATGGGTTTATATGCTAGCAATTGGAAGTTAGATTATATTTCTGTTCTTATGTAACATGTTGTATATACATGGAATATGGGGAAGCTATCTACATTATTCGGAGTGCTTGATATGCATTTCCTTGCTCCTGATATAAAATTTTGGTGATAAATTTGTATCAGGCACTAGGGACTGGATTCACTCAATTTGCTGAACCTGTATTTGCGAGGTGCATAAATATAATTCAGACCCAACAATTGGCCAAGGTTCTGGTTACTTAATTCATTGTGGAAATCATTTTGATAGTTTCTTAGGTGTTACTTGTGATTTCCTTTGTCATCCTGCCATGCTACTATTATGATGTCTGACATACTCATATTTTAGTAGTGGATAACTGATTTTGAGATATTATTTCAAGGAGTTAAGCACGTTTTCTCATTTCAGGCCAATCCTGCTGCTGCTGGGGCTCAGTATGACAAGGAATTCATTGTGTGCTCTCTTGATCTGCTTTCTGGACTAGCAGAGGGTCTTGGCAGTGGAGTAGAGAGTTTGGTACTCATCCAAATCATTTATTTGAGATATGAAACATGCATTTTTGTTTGTATAGTACATCTCTTCTTCTCGGATATTATTTTTCTAAAATATTTTTCTTTATTGAACTCTTTCTCTACAACTTTACTTTCTTTACTTCTCAAAGTAATTGAAGCTATTTGCAGTTGCATATTCTTATCTATCCATAAAAGGCATATTTTACCTTGAATCTTTATCTTACGTCCAAATCTTTATTTATTTTTCTTTCTTTGCATTGATAAATCCTTGAACTGGACAGCTATTTTGCATCTCATGAACTTTTATGCTGTTTGACATATTGATATCTGCTTGAGAATAGTTAATACTAAACCAGTGATTGTGTTTGTGTGATTGTTATTTGTTTGAGGTTATCTTAATTACTATTCTTCAGGTTTCACAATGTTCTCTGAGGGACCTACTTTTGCATTGTTGTACGGATGATGCTCCCGATGTTCGACAAAGTGCCTTTGCCTTACTTGGAGACCTTGCTCGAGTAAGTTGAATGTGTAGTTGTATACTTTTTACTGAAGCCATCATATCCACTGGTGGTATCTGCATATGGATGGTCCTTAAACCTGGGATGTAGGAAATATTCCATACGCTGATCCTTAATTTATGCTTGCAAGTAAATTGGGTGAGTTTTGGAAGACACTAGTTAATAGCATTCTAATAATGGTGTGATTTGGCTAGGTGTGCGTGATTCATTTGCACCCTCGTTTGTCTGAGATTCTTGAAGTTGCTGTCAAACAACTGGTACGTGTGGGCCTGGTATAAGTTTAACTATACAGTTGAATTTAGTAATACTTTTGTTGATATGCTATACATGTATAGGAAATTTCAAAGGTACAAGCGGCTCTTTCAGTGGCAAATAATGCATGTTGGGCAATTGGAGAATTAGCAGTTAAGGTACGTCATTGTCAAATGTCGTAGTTTAAAAATAATAGAGATGTACAATGATGGACATTGGTTTGCCTAATGTAGATAAAATTGTCAGAGGTAAGAATTAGTTAGCACAATATCATTTTTGTATGAAACACGTTATTGTAAAATATAAATTTTGAATTTCAGGTCCGACAAGAAATTTCTCCGTTCGTTTTAAGTGTAATTTCATGCCTGGTACCAATTCTTCAGCATGCAGAGGTCACAGTCTTATCATGCTCCATACTATTGATAATTTTGGATATATTCAGTTGCTAATCGTAATTTGTTTATGTGGTTTATAGGGACTCAACAAGTCACTTATAGAAAACAGTGCAATCACACTGGGGAGACTTGCATGGGTCTGTCCAGACCTTGTATCACCACATATGGAGCATTTCATGCAACCTTGGTGCAATGCTCTTTCAAAGTAAGTTATTGCATCAATTGTATATTTTCTTTAATCACGGCTTGCTTCCTTACAAGCTATGAAGCATGGACACTGACACTGGGAAACGACCCAGACAATCCGACACCGATAATGTCAAAAACATAGGACACTGCCACTGACACAACCACTACATGTATGATACAATTTGACCTTCATTTGCCCATCAACTGTTAAAAGAGTTTAAAATGTTGTAATCAAACTTAATGTCTTTAATCCTTCATTGGTCAACATTGCTTCGGCACATCTTTAACCCTTTTAGATGTGTATGGGATTTGTCCAAAAAATGTATAAAGTATGTTAACGCAAAGACAAAAACATTATTATTTTAAACACTTTCTGAATTGTCCGACACATGTATAAGTGTGTCAAAGCAAAAAAAAACTTTTTGGGACACTTGTCTTGGTTTTCCAACACGTGTCATAGAAGTGTTGGACACCACGACACGCCTAATCCAAGATGTGTCTGTGCTTCATAGCTATTCCCTCCGTCCCATATTATAAGCAAATTTCACCTTTTTAGATTCATTGAATAATTAATGTATCTGGTATGTATATAGACCAGATACTTTAAATATTCAATGAATCTAAAAATGTGAAATTTGCTTACAATATGAGACGGAGTATTTTCAACATAGGTTTAGAATTGACTCTTTTCAAACCTGTTAGACCACTCTCTACCCAAGATCCGTTAGACCACCAAATATTAGGCCACTCGGGTCACACTCTTGATGTAAGTAGAGTGTATAATTTTGTTTCCAGCTGCTGAGTTGGAGAGGAGAAGCTACATGTGACCTAAGTGGCCTGATAATGGGCGGTTCAACGGATCTTGGGTAGACCCTGATACAATATCAAATTTTGGATGGAGTCTAACTCAACTCTTCAAAACCAACTTACAAGGCGGGGGGGATGTCTTTCACTTATAAACTCATTTTTGACTATACCAACTTACAAGGCAGGGGATGTCTCTCACTTATAAACTCATTTTTGACTATATCTCATCTAATGTCTCTTAACAAATACTCTTTGAACTTTAATATAAGCAAATAATCAAATGTATTTGATCCACTTTTGGACTAAATACATGTTTTTTTGTTGCTTATATATAAGTCCAGAGTAGTAGCTTGTTTGTCTCAACATAAAGTTTGGTTGCTTTACTTTTGAACTGATCAATATTCAATGGTAGGGCTTGTGGTTGTTAACATGTCTTTATAAGTGGGGGCAATCCTCACCTTACAAGTCAGTTTTGTAGGGTTGAATTAGGTCCAACCACATTTCTTAACAGTGGTCTTGTATTTGTATATATTTGTGACTCACACATAGAAACATATAACATAGGGTAAACTTTCCTCTGAAAATCTCCACTTTACAAGTTAATCATGATTTTAGACGTTCACTGTTTGTTTGCAGGTTATTGTGTATTTATGATTTTCTTGTATGATTTGTGGCAGGATACGAGATGATGTTGAGAAAGAGGACGCTTTTAGAGGTCTATGTGCTATGGTAGGCTGTTCCTTTTAAAACAAATATAACTACACGTTAACCATTCATGCAATCAGTGCTTTACAATTTCTGTTTGTTTTCAGGTCAAAGTCAATCCTTCTGGAGCTCTCAGTTCTCTTGTTTACATGTGTAAAGCCATTGCAAGTTGGCATGTATGTTGCCAGCATCAACATTTTTTTAAATGTCCGTGATTTATGATTTCTGTAGTATAAATTCTTTGTTGAAATGTATAGGAAATAAGGAGTGAAGATTTACACAATGAAGTCTGCCAGGTCTTGCATGGGTACAAACAGGTTAGTCTTGTCTGCTGTAAACACATCTTCTTTAGAACTTTTATGTACAGGTTATAGCTGCAATAATTCATTCATCATGAAAATGAACCCCTTTGTATGATTAAATTGGTATTTAATAGTGCTTCATTCTTTGTTTTAAATCCTGATTACATTGGCGGAAATTTATATCAAGATTAATAACTGAAACTAACCGGTAAGGGATATCCCATATTTTTGCTTATAGATGCTGCGCAATGGAGCATGGGACCAGTGTATGTCTGCTTTGGAGCCGCCGATAAAAGAAAAGCTTTCAAAGTATCAAGTATAATTTGATTGAGTGAGCACTGTATCTGCATTGGCCTTGGTCATTTTGTGTGTTGTCAAGCAATATCGGAGTCACGATTCATATTGAACAGGAGCTTAGTCTTGGTCCAATTTTATCGGTCAGGGTTATCAGTATTTATACAATTCGTTGAGCTTGGTGATTACAGGCAGTTCCACAAGCCTTCAAGGTCTCATTTGATGGCGTTTCCTATGAGAAATGTACAGTGAAAATGGCTTTCGATCTTTGGAAATGCTTGATTCTTTGTTGTCTTTATAGTTTAAGAAAAGCCTTAATTAAAGGCTACAAGTTTGATTTGATCTTTGAGTTCACGTCACAGTTTTCCAATATTTTTAGTGAGTTTATAGGTTTTGTGCCGTTGGTTATACAGTTTTGTACCATTAGATAGAGAGGGAGAAGAGGGGAGGGGGTGTTATGAGACCACTTGTGTTCCATTGTTTGTAACACTTGAAGACCGATTTAAGCTATGTGTTGTCTTAGGCAGGGCATCTTTTGAATTTTGATTGAAACAATAAGCATTTAAACTAATGCGTATTTCATTGATCATTTTTTCTTTAGCTAAAAGCTTTGTTAACATTATTTTCTTAACGTTGTCAATGCTTTTGCTCCTTAATAACACTAATATCTGTGGTCGCTCTAATTAACAATTTAAGTTTTTTCTTTTAGGCTTTGTTTGGAGTGAAGATGGGAGGACTTTGAAATTATTTTTTTTTGGAATTATAGAGAAAATTTTTAACATTTAAAAAAAAAGATTTTGTTAAGAATGATAATAGAAGGTTTATCATTACCATATTTTTAATTTTTGAAATAACAACATAAATTATATTTGAATAATTTATTTAAGCTTTTAAAACCTTCTTCAATATAATTTTTTAGTTTCCTAAATTAGAAAGATTTTTTGTTTTAACTATAAGCAAAATCTTCCAAATCCTTCTGTCAAAATTCTTCTATTCTTTTTATTCTATTTCTTTTAAAAATCTCTTTCTTCTCTTCTCTTCCAAATTTCAAACAAAACTTTAGAATGAAATGCTTTGAGATTTTTCGTAGTAAAACAAAATCTTGTTCTTGGTTTTCCATTGACCCTAGATATCTAGGGTTTGTTCAATTGATTTAGGGTCTGTTTGAGAACGTGGAGAGAAAGAGAGAAGGAATGAAAATAATTGAAGGGATCTGATTGAGAGAATTTCAATGGTTGTTTTTATTCATAATATAAAAAATATTTTAATTTGAAGGAATTCAAAATTTATAGTGAAAAACTTATATAATTTGTATTGAATATTTTGGACTTAAATGTCATTTATGTTGTTATATTATTTTAAAAATTAAAAATATAATAATGATAACATTCTTTTATTATTTTATATAATTTTTTTTTAAATGTCAAATATTTTTTATATTTTCAAAAAAATTTGTTTTCGAAATTTTTTTTCTTTCCTCCAAACTTCCAAACAAAATTTTAGAAAATTGAGTCTATTGAGGTCAGCCCTAGTGATTGCGAGAAGATGAAAATGTTAGTCACTATCCCATTTTTAAGCAAAAAAACCCCAAATTTTAGAGTACGGAAATAATATAGTTTTACAAAGTAAATGACTATGTAGATTGTAACACAGTTCAGTTTTTTTTGTTTGTTATTGCCATTGTAAAAATTACCGTTGAGTTGCAGATTATACTGCTCTTTAGATGTTTTGCGATATGTAAAATAGGTACTCAATCATGTTATTTTTAGAATAAAATAATTTATTTCTATATTGTGATTATTATTTGAACAATAGTTTTTAGTATAAAGACCTGTTGTAATAATTTCTTAAACGTAGAGAAATTTGAATGATTTATTGTAGAGAATTTAATGATGATCGTTTGATCAGTCAATGCTTTCTCAAATATAGAGAAATTCAAATAATTCTCTAAAGAGAATTTAAAAAATTATTAAAAAATTTAACAAGTAAAAAAAAAGTTGACGTTTCAAAAATTAGAAAAATCAAAATTTGTTATTTTCTTATATAATGAAATAAGTTTAAAAAAGTAATCTAAACAATGTAAGACTTATAGTTTTTTCAATAAACACATAAATACACAAAGTTATTTAACGATCCGGAACTTAGAAAGCATTTTCAAATTCATTTCTGTATTGAAATGTTTATATGTTCCAACAATCTTTCACTTGAATTTAAAAAGTGTTTTAAAAGTTAGCAAAAGCATTACCACCATAAAACTTTTGTTGATATTCTCTTCTTCTTCTTAAACTTACCATCCTTGTTCGAGAATTTTCCTTTTATAGACAATTCTTCACCGATAAATGGTGGTTTATGTTCATTTCTTTCGTCTAAGTCTTTAGAGTACAAGGCTGATTGAACTTCTTCAAAGGTTTGAGACTCTCTTTCATACAAGAAAGTTTCTTTGAAATAAGCATGAGATCTTGATAAAGCACACAACAACAATAACACTTGATCTTCATCATCGATGCTGACATCAATATTCACCAGATCAAGAATTAACTTATTGAGTATACCAGTTGCTCAGTGAAGACTTTGTATTCACTCATCTTAAATGAATATGAAGGTTGCTTCAGGTAAAGACGATTGACTAACAACTTGGGTCATGTACAAATCTTCGAGTTTGTTCCACACATCTGCGATTTTCTCCTTTGAGACCTGCCAAAAAACTGTTAAGATATTAGACATAATCTAAGTTGTGTAATCTAAGTACAAGCTCAATTAGGATTTGTTAGCCTACTTATTGTATAAGTGAATGTATATGAATGATCATAGTTTATATCATTATTTGTATAATTCAAGTTAATAATACAATCCTTATTTTCTTTATTTTTTATTTCTCTCCTCACTAAAAGTGTTTCATGTAACACCCCATTTCTACCCGGCGAATAATATTAATATCAGAGTTACAAAATTTCGACATACAAATAGGATGATACACTTACTACTCAAAAACACCTTTATTTAATCACATATAAAATATATACATAATATTTAAATTCGGATGAACCGTTAACCACATAATTTAGTCTTTAGAATAAAACTTTTATAATTAAGCAGCGGAATCACAATTTTCAATTCAAATGACATAACATCTTTGTCCAACTGAAAAAAACTTTAGAAACATCAAAGTACTTAGTAAATAAATTTAAGATTCAACAACAGAAGTAATCACAACAATAAAGAAACAAGCGTTCATTCCCCTGAGTGTTACGTATCAGAGTCACGACACCGATTCGAACTACTGAAGGTAATCAATCTTCACTCTGGGTTACCTGCATGTTACCAACATATGAGTAACATTTAAAGAGAAGGAGTGAGATATTGAACAATATAATAGAGCGCGTGATAATTAATATATTAGAATCGGTTCATACAAAATCATCACTTCGCAACTCTTTAACAACATTTAACATAATCAATTCATCCATACAACAACTCAGGATGCAACATGAAACGCGACTTATTTTTATGCACATGCATGTGGTACCAATGAAACAAAACTCCTAACTTAATAATTTTATAATTAATAGAGGCATCAACAAGGCATAAGCCTTCAACTTTATATCTTCCAATCCAGGACAACTTATCTAGCATGAGTTCCCAACTTGATATGCTATGTATGCGACAACAGTATGAATGTAGTAACAACAACAACAACAATAATTTAACAACAACTCAACACAATTCAACATTGATCATAAGCCTACAACTTAATATCTGCCAATAATTAGAGGCATCTCAATAAAATTCATCATCATCTGCCAATTCTCAAATTATAACAAAGTATGCAATACACCGTATTAACCAAAATATACTACGAGATCTGCGTAATTATTCGGGCAATTCGGCTATATCCGGCTAAATAGTTTTATGCTAAAATACTAATGTTTTCGGTTATGTACTACTATCTCCAATTCCACACGGTTTACTGCTAGTCACTTATTAATTATTTCGTTGTTGTTACTAGCTACTAGTTTGTTCTCCTATTAATACTGCTACTGAAAATTCTACTAAATTACTTTTACTAATAACTTTACTATTAGTTCTCTGCTAATTATTAATTCTACTATCTCTCATGCTACTAACTTATATCTACTAGTAACCATTAATCATTCAGGGGGTAAATTACATTAAGAACTCTAATTATTATGCCAAGACTGTTAAACAAATAATTCACCAATTAGGATGCACAGGAGCAAAGAAAAAAGAATAAAAAATACATGTGCCCCTCGACACAACAACCCTGCCGCTCGAAACTTCCCATTTTTGCCTCTGTGCCGGTCGGCACACACCGTTCCCCTCGGCACACCTTGAAACCTTGTGCCGCTCGGCACAAGCACCTGTGCCCCTCGGCACAGCGTGTCTTCAACACTTTTGCACAAACTTCATCCAGTTTGTTACTGATACTAATGCAGAAATTTCCAAATTTTCCTTCGATTACAAATCTCAGACCAAAACAATATTGTACACTAACCATGGGTTAATTTCCAACCTTTCATTCATCGACGGAATTACTGCGACGCTATCAGAAATTATGACAGTGGTAATATGAAATTCAGAAACAACAACAATTTCATGCACGAAAACAATTATTCACACAACCAACCCCTACATGATATTCATCATGATTCCCATTATAGAGTCAGAACCCCACCCCTACCTTGGATTGAAGGTCACTCTCGAATAGAAAACCTTATTTTTTTCTCTTCTCCATATTCCTCTTCTCTGCAACTTCTTACGATCAATTTCCAACTCCTTATCAATTAACCCTATTCTTTATTTAAATAAAACCTCACAACATTATTATTCTTAGTGGGCTTAACAACACACACCCATAACTCTACTTCTAACCATTAAAACAGACCCAACATAATTATTCTATTATTCTACTAATTCTAGCATTATTAATATTATTAATTAGCTAGTAATAATCTAGCAACTTATGCCAAAAATTCACAACATCTCACAACTTCAACGTATAATTCGAAA